ACAGGGCAGACGAGACAAACAGAGAAATTGACAACAACGGCGAGCGAAACCAACCTCTGCAGCACAGGCTCCGAGAAGCAGGGGGAGAATGCGGGAGGGCAGGCACCAGAACGCAGGAGGGCACCGGGAGAGGTGAAGCGGCAAGGAAAAGGGATATGGGGAGCAGGAGAAGGAGGACATAGTCAACCCGCACAGTGAGGATTCGCGTCTCTCCAACGTTACCTTTGCATCCTTCCCCTTCGGCCCATCCTTGGCCGCTTTCGCCAGCTGCGCCCGGCTCGCAGAGTGTCGACATGATCTTCTAGGGCCCTTGCATCCTCATCGTGTCTCCTTGTTATACGGCTTGACTTTAGAGGGCACGAGGAGGAGCTGGAGGAGAGACGGTAGCACAGCCCGGGCAGAACTCGCATGCGGATGTTTATTGAATCGTTTCGCTCACTCCGCCGGCCCGTATTGTGCCATCGCGGGCGTTTGCTTGCGCGGTCGCGAGCCATGCGGCGCTGGTGGGCCGTAGTCGTTTTCCAGAGGCGTTGCGGCAAAACGCATGGGGATGAAGCACTTTGTTTGGAGCTTGTTGTGGGGGCTTCGGCCTCTACTGTCTTACGAGGTGGCTATCTAGTGGTTTTCGGCCCATCCCGCCACCGCGCTTGGGTTGTAGGTCGGAGGCCTCTTGGATGTTCGTTGAGATATCGTGGCAGGCCTTTCGAGGGTTTCTTTGGAGGCAGTTTTGAGGGCTCTTGGGGGCCGTCGGGGGGTTTCTTGGGGCTTCTGTTTAGGCCTCTCGGGGTCTCTTGCAGGCCTATTGGGGCCTCATGGGAGCTGCTTGGGGCGGAAGTCTCGAATTGTCGGTTCGTGTTCCCTCTCTTGGGTCCCTTTGGGGCCCTCTTGGGGCTCTCTTGGGCCGTTCGGGCGTCTCGTGGGCCGTTGAGGAGCCCTCTGGGGTCGTCTTGGGGTTCTCTTGGGGGCCCCCTGGGCTGTCCAGGGGTGGTTTTTGAGGGCTCGTGGTCTGTCTTGGAGCGTCGGGAGCTCGAAAAGGCGAGAACTCCCAAAACCGCTGAAACACCAAATGGCAATCAATGTTTTGGGCATATCGCAGCCCTCCTGGGAGACTGCTTGGAGCGCTCTTGGGGCCTATTTGAGGCCATTCGGGCCGTCTTGGGGCCATCTTGGGCGTTCTGGAGCGCCCTTGGGCCGTCTTGGAGGCCGTTCTGTTGCTTCTGCTAGTGCTGGCGGTGGTGGTGGTGGTGCTGCTGCTGCCGGCGTTGGCGCTGGCGGTGTTGGTTTTCGAGCTGCTGGTGCTGCTGCTGGTGCTGCTGCTGTTGCCGTCGTTTCCGTTTGTGGCGGTGGTGCTGTTAATGTTGGTGCCGCTGCTGGTGTTGATGCTTTCCGTGCTGCCCGGCCGTGGCGACGGAGAGGCCCCCCGAAGGCTAACCTCGAGGCTCGAGGTTCGACCTTCGACGTGTACTTTTCCCCCCCCACCTCCCTCCCTCTCCTCCGTCGCGTCCCTCTCCTCCGTCGCCCCCCCCCACCACTCGGGGTTCGTCCCGCCCCACTTTGGGAGGAAATATGAAGAGGAAAAGGAGAAAATGGAGGGGAGGGAGGTGGGGCAGGGATATGAGGGAGGGAGGGACGGATGGAGACGGAGGATGATGAGGCCGACCACTTCGAGGAGGATGGGGCCAGTCGTGCTTGACATCCCACATCATACACGTTGCCGAATGCATACACATGTGGGCCGTTTGGGGATCGGTGATGTATGTGCGGTCTGTCCATTATTCATATTCTTGGTTGTGCTTACAGAATACACGCAACCGACAACCTCTCATAATTCACGCTGACCTCCAGAGCCCCCCACACATTTCCAGGACCATCCCAAGCTCATCTTCATCCAATCGAAATTGGAGGAAAACGCAGTGAAGGATCCAAGGGTGAGGGACGCGAGAAAAACTGAGTGTTGGGGATCTGGGCAGGGGGCATCTCGGAGAGCCCATGGATGCTTCTGGGAGTCTCTTCTGGGAGCATCAAGGAGCTTCTCAGGAGGAGTACTTGTGACCCTCTTGGGAGCCCTTGGGGGCCTCTGGGAAGGCTCTTGGAGGCCTCGTGGGGTCTTGGGAGCCCTTGGCAGCTTCGTGGGAGCTTCTTGGGAACTTTGGAAGGCCTCGTGGATGGCTCTCGGTGGGCCCTCTCGGTGGTCTCTTTGCGGGGTCTGCCTGGCCTCTTGGGGGCCTCCTGGGAGCTTCCTGGGGGTCTTTTGGGGGCCTCTTGGGGCTTTCTTGCAGCCTGTTGGGGGCCGCTTGGGGCTCTCTTGGGGGCTTCGTGGGGCGACCTGGGGCTTGTAGGGGCCTTTTTTTCGGGGTTTGGGCGGGAGACTCAAAATGTCCGTTCAGGTTGCCCCTGTGGACCTCCATCATGGGGCCGTCTTGGGGCCTCTTGGACCGTCTTGGGGGTTTCTTGGGCCTTCTTGGAGCGCTCTTGGGCCGTCCTTGAGCGGTCTTGAGGGTCTCTCGGGCCGTCTGGGGGTGATCTTGGTCGTCTCTTGGACCGCCTTGAAAGGTGTGAAAAACAAAGAGGCGGATATGTAAAACATGTACGTTTCCCTACGGGAATGCGACGATCTTTGCTTGTGGGGGCCCTCTCGGGGCGCCGCTTAGGGACCTCTTGGGGCGTCTTGAAGGCCTGTTGGGCCGTCTTCAGGCCATCGTAGGCGCTTGGGGATGGTATGTCGGCGTCTTCCGGCTCTCTTGGACCGTCCGGAGGGTTTCTCGGGCTCCTCTTGGACCGATTTGGAGCCCTCCTGGGCTCCGAGAAAGAGTTCTTGAGGGTTTATTGGGCCTTCTTGGAGCGCTCTTGGGCCGTCTTTGAGCTGTCTAGAAGGTCTCTCGGGCCGTCTTGGGGTGATCTTGAGGGCCTCTGGGACCGCCTTGAAATGTTTGGAAGACGAAGAGGCGGATATGTGAAAATGCACGGGCAGAATTCACATGCGGATGTTTATTGCATGCATGATTGCAGCGCCGCTGTCCTAGTGGTTGTGGTAGTCGTAGTAGTCGTAGTAGTCGTAGTAGTAGTAGTAGTAGTAGTAGTAGTAGTAGTAGTAGTAGTAGTAGTAGTAGTAGTAGTAGTAGTCGTAGTCGTAGTAGTAGTAGTAGCAGTAGTAGTAGTAGTAGTAGTAGTAGTAGTAGTAGTAGTAGTAGTAGTAGTAGTAGTAGTAGTAGTAGTAGTAGTACTAGTACAGTAGTAGTAGTAGTAGTAGTAGTAGTAGTAGTAGTAGTAGTAGTAGTAGTAGTAGTAGTAGTAGTGGTAGTGGCAGTGGTAGTAGTGGTAGTGGTAGTAGTAGAAGTAGTAGTAGTAGTAGTAGTAGTAGTAGTAGTAGTAGTAGTAATAGTAGTAGTAGTAGAGTAGTAGTAGTCGTAGTAGTAGTAGTAGTAGTAGTAGTAGTAGTAGTAGTAGTAGTAGTAGTAGTAGTAGTAGTAGTAGTAGTAGTAGTAGTAGTAGTAGTAGTCGTAGTAGTAGTAGTAGTAGTAGTAGTAGTAGTAGTAGTAGTAGTAGTAGTAGTAGTAGTAGTAGTAGTAGTAGTAGTAGTAGTATAGAATAGGAAAAGTAGTCGTCGTCGCCGTCGTCGCAGCACTATCAGTTCGAGTAGCAGCAGTAAGAGTAGCAGTAGCAGAACCAGTAGCAGTAGCAGTAGCAGTAGCAGCAGTAGCATAAGCAGTGGTAGTAATCGCACGAGGGGAACAGGTAGCAGCACGAGGGGATGGAGCAGAGAAGGTGGTCGACGACACACATACACACGGACGCCCTTCTCGTCCATGCTTTTTCTTGTTTGCCCAAGTGTGCCTTCGCTCCTCCTCCTCCTGCGCCTCTTCCTCCTCCTCCTCCTCCTCCTGCTCCTCTTCCTCCCCCCTTCTCCTCCTCCTCCTCCTCCTCCTCCTCCTCCTTCTCCTCCTCCTCCTCCTCCTCCTCCTCCTCCTCCTCCTCCTCCCAGAGGGCCAACGGTCAGGCCCTCGCCTTTTGTGCGCGACGCGTTGGGGGCCCGCCCCCCCTGGCTGGCCCGACAGGGTGATGACCGCCTCCCCGGCCGGCTCAGCCCGGCCGGCCCGCGGCGGAGGACGCCGGCGGCGCCGAGGCGAGTCATCCAGCGCCTGCGATGGCACCTCTGCCCCCTGGGGCCGGTCGAGCGCACGGGCCGCACGGGCCGCATGGGTCTGGGGGAGCAGGATGGCGATCCGGCGTCGAGTCCTCCGAGCTCCCTCCCTTTGGAGGGGTCGCACCCCCGTCCAGCGAGTGGCGCGATTGGTGGATCGGGTTTTCCACCGGGGCCTCTAGGTCCGCCTCGGGGCATCACGAGCGGGTCTTGCGCACGGTCAAGTGTAGATCATCTAGCAGATTTTGAATATCCTCCGTGCGCTGTGGGGACGAACGCGCGCCGGCCTCCTGGGCGGTGCTGCTCGGGTTTGAGTTTGGCCGCCGGCCCCGCTGTGGCCCAGCAGCTGGAACAACGTCGTGCCTCGCCCAAGCAGTGCCTGGCTGGGCCTCCTCTTGCCCCGCCAGGGTGCGATAAGGCCAGCGCGGTGCTTCGCCACGCGCGGTGCCCAGACCACTGGCTCAACCTGGATGCCCCCGACCCCCCCAAAAAATTTCCGGTTAGGAGTGTACGGTTCCATCGTGCTCCTTCCATGTTCTGGAGTGCCACCCCCCCACTGGAAATTGACGGGCCCAACGGTGATTTCGGCTTGGGCTGGGTAGTTTGGTAGGTAGTCAGTGTGCGGAGCAGGACCTCTTCGCGAGGTTCGAGCTCTCCTCCTGGCGGAAGTAGCGTTTTGTCTTGGCCCAGCGAGCGAACTCGTCAGGTGTCCTCATTTATGCTCCTATTGCTGCTCATCTACCTGTTCGTCTTCGTCCGCGTCCTCATCCTCTTGTTCCTCCATGTCAGGATCCACCCCCCTCGCTCGCCTCTGCCTCTGTATCCGCCCCGTCCTGCTGATCTTCCACTTCCCCTCCACAGACAAGCTGGGCTTCTTTGCCTTAGATCGCGCGAGCGCGTGTCCACGCGTACACTTCTACATCCTCCTCCATAGCTGCAATTGCGCACAGTCTCCCACTGGCAATCCACAAGATGGTGTTATCTTTGCTGCACGCGTTCGTCCTGTTGGGTCTCGCCACCCAGGGCCGTAGCGTGACCATCCGCGCACACGAGACGGTCGAGGGAAATTCCGGGCCGTCCTCAGTCCTGGAGGCAGCCGCGGACAAGGGGCGACTCACTGAAGCTTGGAAGAGGAAGGTCTCGCACGTGCTTCAGGTCGAAAACATGACTTACTCTGGGAACGCAACGGCTATCGTCACGTACGCGGGCAAGAAGGACCTCACGTACATCGACGGCGCAGTCATGCTCGGAATGTCCGTCAGAAAGCACGTGCCTGGTTTCCCGATGGTCGCCATCGTCGTCGAAGGAATGAAGCCGAGCTACCAGCAACTCCTGCGTGACGCTGGTTGGGCTATAGCCGCCGTGCCGAACTGGGAGGCCGATTACTGCGGCCCCAAGTGCGACCTGCAATTCTTAGGCCGGTGGCACGACAGCTTCGAGAAGATATCCGGCCGCCTGCGGCGAACCCCGCCACCGCGCCAGCGCAGGGGCGAAGCAGGGAGGACGTAAACATGACATGTCGGAGGTCCGTGCGGATCAGGGCGGGCGGTCCTGCGCCGATCTAAGACATCCGCGCGGACCTCCGAAAGGTCATGGTTTACGCTTTTCTCGTGCTCCGGAAGGCTGAGGTAAAGACCCGCTCCAGCTCGGCGCCGTGTCTGAAGTGGCGAGGGTCTCTAACACCCCCTCCTTGTCTGCAGCCTCGTCCGCCACCTCTTCCTTCATCTTGCAGGCTTATCGCGATGCTTTTCGGAGCTCGTTTTGGGACCTCCACGGGGCCCGTTGGCGGCCTTTGAGTCGCGATGGGGCGCAGAAGTTCTATTGAGCTGTCCCGAGAAAACTTGGTTAAACCCCTCTTCGAGACGACTGGGAAGCTCGTGGGGCCGTCTTGAGCCATCTTGAGCAGTCTTGAGGTGTTCTCGGGCCTTCCTGGGACCGTCTTGAAGCGCGTTCGGGGCCGTCTTGGGCGTCTCGTGGGGCTCCCCGAAGTATCCGCCCAGACCGACTTGAAGCTGGAAAGCGTTCGACGCAACCACAACGACAGCTAACACGCACGCTGGGGGCCCGTGCCACCCCAGGAGCCTGTACGCCAAGGGTGCAGGCCCAGGCTGGGGCCCCGTATTTTCTTTCTCCGAGCAGCAACAACCGCAGCGATAGCAGCAGCACGCGCAAACGATATCTGTATTTGGTCACCACGCGGCGGCCGCAGCCATTACTTCTCAAGCTGGTATGTCTGCTCCGACGGGGCTCGTTCCGACGGCCTCTTGGAACTGCAGCAGGGTCTTTCTGGCGAGCTCTTCTCGCCAAGTGGGAAAACTAGTATAGCATAAGCTGTTACAGGATCTCCAGCAGGAGCTCTAGTATGAGCTCTCGTCGGACCTGTTGTTCTCGCTCCTAGTTGGAGCTGTAGTGGGAGCTGTAGAATCAGTTACCAGGGAACGTTTAGTAGGAGTTGTAGCGGGAGCTGTAGTAGAAGCTCTGATGGGAGTTCGAGTGCGATCTCTGTAGCATGAGCTGTACTAGGCGATGTACAAGGAGCTCCCGTGGAACATATGGTGGGAGCTGTAGCATGGGCTGCAGAAAGATCCAATAGGAATTCTGGTCGGGGCTCTAGCAGGAGCTGTAGTAAGAGTTCTGCTGTACTACGTAGCATCACGTGCAGGAGCTGCACCCGGTTCTCTGGCATCAGTTCTACCGGGAGATCTAGTAGGAGTTGCTGCAGAAATTGCGGTAGTAGCAGCAGAAGCGGCGACAACACAAATTAAAGTTTTTGCAGGACCTCTTGGGAAGTGCATTGCTGAGGGGCTTTCATGCGAACTCGTGTCGTAGTAGAAGTAGTAGTGGTAGTAGTAGTAGTAGTAGTAGTAGTAGTAGTAGTAGTAGTAGTAGCAGTAGTAGTAGTAGTAGTAGTAGTAGTAGTAGTAGTAGTAGTAGTAGTAGTGGTGGTAGTAGTAGTGGTAGTAGTTGTAGTTGTAATTGTAGTTGTAGTCGTAGTAGTAGTAGTAGTAGTAGTAGTAGTAGTAGTAGTAGTTAGTAGTACTAGTAGTAGTAGTAGTAGTAGTAGTAGTAGTAGTAGTAGTAGTAGTTAGTAGTGTAGTAGTAGTAGTAGTAGTAGTAGTAGTAGTTTGTTGTTGTTGTAGTTGTAATTGTAGTTGTAGTCGTAGTAGTAGTAGTAGTAGTAGTAGTAGTGTAGTAGTAGTAGTAGTAGTAGTAGTAGTAGTAGTAGTAGTGTAGTAGTAGTAGTAGTAGCAGTAGTAGTAGTAGTAGTCGTAGTCGTAGTAGTAGTAGTAGTAGTAGTAGTTAGTAGTAGTAGTAGTAGTAGTAGTAGTAGTAGGAGTAGTAGTAGTAGTAGTAGTAGTAGTAGTAGTAGTAGTAGTAGTAGTTATAAATATACGGCGCACCGGGTCCGGGGGTCCGGGGCCGGGACCCCGACCACAAATGTGGGCTCCGGGGGGCCCGGAGGCTCGTCGGGGCTTGCCGGAGGCCTCCCCGGTCAGACAAGACGGCCCAAGAAGCGCCCAAGACGGCCCAAGCAACTTCCAAGAGGCCTCCAAGAGGGCTCCAAGATGCTGAAGATGGCCTCCAGACGTCCAAGGACGCCCCCAAGACGCCCCAAGAAGCCTCCAACATGCGTCCCAAGAGGGCCCCTAGACGCAAAAATTGGCCCATTCCCTTCGTAAAACGTACATTTTCAACAAAGTTGCCTTTTGGGCTTTCCGACGTTACAGGACGGCCCAAGAGGCGCCCAAGACCGCCCCAAGACGGCCCAAGAAGCTTCCCAAGAGGGCCCCAGGACAGCCCAAGAGGGCCCCAAGACGGCCCAAGAGGCGCCCAAGATGGCCCAAGAGGGCCCCAAGACGGGCCCAAGAGGGGGCCCAGAGGGGGACCACGAACCGCAAGCTCGAGCCTTCCGCCCCAAGAGGCCGCCAGGAGGCCCCAAGGAGGCCCCTCAAGAGGCCCCAGGAGACCCCCAAGAGGCCCAAAGGAGGCCCCGAGAAGCCCCAAATCGGCCCCCAAAATGCTTCGAACCTGCTTCCAGGAGGCCCCCGACAGGTTCAGAGGCTCCCGAGAAGCTACGTCAAACTCCCAGCGAGCGGCCGGACGAGGCCCCCCAAAAAATCCCAAGAGGGTTCCAGTATTTGTATCCTTCAGCGCTCTCTGGCCTTCTTCCCCCTGCCCCCTTCCCTGCGACTTTCGTTGACTCAAGCTCGCCTCCTCTCCATTTCCTCTCTCTGCCTCTCTCTCTCTCTCTCTGTTTTTTTTTGTTTCTCTCTCTCTCTCTCTCCATCTCTCTTCTCTCTCTCTCTCTCTCCTTCGCTCTCTGTCTGTCTGTCTCTCTCTCCCTCTCTTTCTCTCTTTCTCTCTCTTCCTTTCACATTCTGTGTCCTTGCGACCTTCTGCAGTCCCCGACGTCGCCACGGCTGGATCCGCTCGAGCGTGTCTTGTGATGTGCGGCGGTGCGAAGCCCGTCCCACTGATCAAGGCACAGGTACGAAATGATGGGTCCATCATTTCTTGCCTTCCCATGTGCGTTTTCCCAATCGATTCCTGGGCCCGAGGTCGCAAAAATTACGACGTCGGAGGTCTGGGGAGGCGGGAAGCACGACCTGGACCTCCGACGTCTTGGAAAAATCACGACGGCGGTTTTTGTTAATTTTCGGCCTCCGGGGCCCCTCGCAGGTTCCCGGGACCGTCAGAAAACGACTCAGGATGAAAACGACTTGGGCTACAGGGCTATTGGGCTACAGGGCTATAGGGCTGTAGGGCTATAGGGCTATAGGGCTAGGGCCATAGGGCTATAGGGCTATGTGGGCTATTCGGCTATTGGGCTATAGGGTTGTTGGGCTGTAGAGCTATGGGGCTATAGGGCTACAGGGCTATAGGATCAGAGGGCTATAGAGCTAAAGGGCTAGATGGATATAGGGATATAGGGCTATTGGGCTATAGTCCTATAGGGCTATACGGCTATAGGGCAATAGGGCTACAGGGCTATAGGGCGATAGGGCACCCCCAGGCACCCCGGCACCCGGGCACCGGGCACCCAGGCACCCAGGCACCGGGGGCACCCGGGCACCCGGGCACCCGGCCCGGCCGCATGGGGCCGGAATCTTGCCGAACCTCATCGAACCTTTTAATCCGCCAGGACCCTTACAGAGGCAAGCTCTGATTGGGTACTAACCCATGGCAACCGCCGCTACCTTCGTCGCCGCGATCGCCGCCGTCTTCATCGCCGCCGTCGTCGACGTCCTCGGGTTCTGTTCGGGCACCCTCTGGCCATCTCGTGAGGCACGCTGGGGGATTATCAGAGGCATCCGTACGTATCCTGAGGGGCCCCGCGACTTCCCCCAGAGACTCTAACTACAGAAACTCCTTTCGTATTCCGGCCAGAAGCATCCAGAAACGATGTACATTAGCCTTGGCGGGGGGAATGATGGCGATGGTGATGTTCATGATGACGACGGTGACGATCCTAGCTAGAACCAAAGCGCGCGCGAAGCGCGCGCGTGGTTCTAGTAGTAGTAGTCGTAGTCGTAGTCGTATTCGTAGTCGTAGTAGAAGTAGTAGAAGTAGTAGAAGTAGTAGTAGTAGTAGTAGTAGTAGTAGTAGTAGTAGTAGTAGTAGTAGCCGTACTAGTAGTATTAGTGGTAGAGGTAGTAGCGGTAGTAGTAGTAGTAGTAGTAGCAGTAGTAGTAGTAGTAGTAGTAGTAGTAGTAGTAAAAGTAAAAGTAAAAGTAGTAGTAGTAGTAGTAGTAGTAGTAGCAGTAGTAGTAGTAGTAGTAGTAGTAGTATTCTAGTCGTAGCGGTAGTGAAAGTGGTAGTGTAGTAGTAGTAGTAGTAGTAGTAGTAGTAGTAGTAGTAGTAGGATTAATAGTAGTAGTACTAGTAGTAGTAGTAGTAGTAGTAGTAGAGTAGTAGTAGTAGTAGTAGTGGTAGTAGTAGTAGTAGTAGTAGTATTGTCGTAGTAGTCGTAGTAGTAGTAGTAGTAGTAGTGTATAGTAGTTTAGTAGTAGTAGTAGTAGTAGTAGTAGTAGTAGTAGTAGTAGTAGTAGTATAGTAGTGTAGTAGTAGTAAGTGGTAGTGGTAGTGGTAGTAGTAGTAGTAGTAGTAGTAGTAGTAGTAGTAGTAGTAGTAGTAGTAGTAGTAGTAGCGTAGTAGTAGTAGTAGTAGTAGTAGTAGTAGTAGTAGTAGTAGTAGTAGTAGTAGTAGTAGTAGTAGTAGTAGTAGTAGTAGTCGGCGTCGTAGTAGTAGACGTAGTCGTACTAGCCGTAAAAAAAATGGTGGCAGAAGTAGTTGTCTTACTCGTAGTCGTAGTCGCTTTGTCGTAGTCGCAGCCGTACTGGTAGTAGTAGTAGTAGTAGTAGTAGTAGTAGCAGTAGTAGTAGTAGTAGTAGCCGTACTAGTAGTATTAGTGGTAGAGGTAGTAGCGGTAGTAGTAGCAGTA